TCACTCAAAATATAATAAGTGGCATTTTGTACAAAAATTTGGGGGTGGTAGTGAGGATTATTTAACAACAAACAGCTTAAATACTATTAGCAACTACATTGTGAGAGTGATCAATTCATGTAGAGAAAGCCTCCCCCAAAATCCTCACCAAGTTTCATGACGAAATTCCTAATATTTTCGCTGAAATCTCGATTGGTTCCGTTTTGGAAAGCCAACCCGTTCTTTGCTATAGACGATTACTTTACACTAGTAGAAGTAAAGTTTCTGCAAGTTCATTTCAAAACTTCTTTTTCAACTATTTAAAGTAGTGTTTATTTAATTTACAAATAGGAAGAGGTCATAAAAGTAAAGCAATCTGATTTTTGTTTACTTTTCGTGTTTCAAAAATACTTGAAAGTGCGAGTCTTATCGGTACTTTTTTGTAAATATGAGTACTGGCATCGATTCTTCTTTAGAGTATTCTATATGAACACTAGTATCGATACTTTTCTAAAAAGTTCTATCACTAATTTATTATCCGGAAGGGATTTTTATTTCGGAATTAAAAATATTAGGCCAAGTTTAACTCGTAAAAAAATAACTGTTAATTTCGGTCCCTGGAATATTGTGCAACTGCACTGATTAGCAATGTTAATACCGGGCATCCGCATTCGCATCCGCGCATGTCTAAAATTCCACATTCGCAACATCCCTAATATGTAGTATGTTTGTGTGTACTAGTCAAGGTGCAGCTGATTTGATTTATTTTCAAATTATTTGGTCTCGAAAATGTCAAATATTTTTAATTTTTTCTCACAAAAATTCTGAATTGTTAAAATCCATTTGCATGTGAAACCTTTTCCCATACAAAACAAGCGATTGAATAGCAGCTTTTGGAACGTTCGCCCAACTCGGCAGCACGACCGCTGATTACTGGGCCTTGCAAAGGATGGATCAATGCTTCGAGAAGCAAACAAATTTACTAGGAAAAAAAGTTGCATCAATTTTTATTTTTTCCAATTTCAATTTATTTTTTATAATTTTTTGTATTTCACATGGCACGCTTTGATTTAGAAGAAAAAATTCAGAACAGTTTTTGACACTTTCGATACCAGAAGCAACAACAAAATACACGCAAATGTTGTTTTTGCTCTACTGATACTACCTGTTTAATGTGCCTTGGTACTAGTGGGACATAACCATTTAGTAAAAGGAACACCTTGTCCGTCAGAGTGAGACTTCAACGCAAGTGAAGTTTATTCCAGACGCTGTTTGTCTTGATTTGACAATTATTATTAAATCCTACCTACCTCATTTGTCGTGTACCGCTAGGAAGTTCGTTCCTAAGTTTCGTTTTACTGCCGCTCATTCGATTTGTGAGGCTGAGGAGGTAGTTTGCAAGCAGCCCAAATATAACATTGCTCGGTATGCAAAGCTGTATAGTAGATATAATAAGACAGAAAGTCGAGAGATTTTCGCTTTCGTCAATACCTCGACCAGCTTTTTCCTTGTGACCACGATTGAGACGTCGTCTTCAAATCCAACAAAAGTAAAGCCCATACAGCCCATCGTTCCATCGTCTGCGCTATTCCCCCCGGCCAACGGTGAAAAGCCCGTAAATCTTCGGCAGAATCTTTCTCTCGAGGGCCGCCTCATCCGGTGCTGTCATTTCTCAATCTTCTACGACGTAAACACGTATTACCTTAAGAGTTTTCGTCACATCATTGGTATTTACCGTCGGATTTTACCTTTGTGGTCCTTTTATCTCAAGGAGAAAATTTTTTTGTTTCTAAGTCCATTGACCTCAAGTACTCCGTTCTAGTACTTACCCACCAGTTCTTAGTTCTTATCACACTAACTTATCAGCCTAATATCAGATAATTAGAGCTCACCTAAAATCATTAAACTTTTTTTAAGAAAGTATTCTGATTATTTCAGTAGAACAATTAAAATTTCTTGCCGAATGTGCCACCGAAAAATGTAAAAAGGCGCTCCTAAAAGCCAAAAAAAAAGTTTTTCGAAATTTGATTTCAAAAATATTTTACAATTTTTTGGTTTGCTTACAAGGTGGTACGCTCTAATGTACATACATAAACGCATCCATTTGCATTACTCATACGTCATGGTATACTATTTGGTTGATAAGCCTTATAATTCAATTTCCAATTGATTAGATTGAATTGCAATACTAAAGGCTCAGTTAGTCTAGACTTAATTACGTAACGTAACCTAATATATTGGCCAACGCAATATATTTTTGTTTAGGAATTTTTTGATGTGGCTTACAGGCAAAGTGGCAATCAGCTGAAAAAGAAAATACAAAACCAAAATATTTGCGCTTCTGGCTAAGTTGACGAGTTGATCATTGACGACTTCTTACGTTAGTGTTAAGTCTAGACTAACTGAACCTTAGGTTTTCATTCGTGTACTCACATCAATACTTTTCTGACCTAATTATGTTTATGCAAATATTTAATTATTAATGAATACATATTTACTCAAGTATCTGTGCTTAGCCAATAGTAGTTTAGTGATAGGGTTACAGAAATAATAATAATTCCTGAGATTGTTTTTCAAAAAAAAGCGATTGATAACTAGTTGACAGGCAAATATTCTTAAGAGCATGTCAGACGTGGCAATATATTTCGTATGCAATATATTTCGAAAAGGCTGTCAAATTGAAAAATTTTAGAAAGCAGTTGCATGTGCAGTCACACCTTGCATGTAAAGTGTCTTTCGAAAGAGCTTTTTTGTTTCCGAAAGGCGAAGTGCAGATCGCTAGTGCAGGGCGAGCAAGTTGAAATACATTTCCGAAATCGATTTGCGCGCTTTGAGTTGCAGTCACAGCTTGCAACTTTCATTTCTGAAACTGATTTCCGAAATGTGACGGAAAGGCCTTTCTGGCTGTACACATATGGATATAATACTCCTCTTTCTCAATTTGACAGCGAATTGCGTGGAAAAGTTGGAAATATTGCCAAGTCTGACACGCTCTTTAAGCAAGGCCGCCCTTAACCCATTAGATATTCGATAGACAGCGAGGCCAAAACTGCTTAATCTTGTTTGTGACGTTGCTACCGCAAGTAGAGTCCGACCGATGAATCGGCCGATACCGGGACTAGTATCGGCCAAAAGATTCGGCCGATTCTTGAAAGAGGTATTGTTATTTAGTTATTTGATTATGTTTCCCTTTTGTTCTTATACAAATTTATAAAAGCATTTGTTCTTAAATGAAATGATATTCAGGATTTAATCGGCAAAGAATCGGCCGATGCTTCGGCCGATTAAATCCTAAATTAAATTCATTAAAAAAAATGGTTTTATAAACTTTTATAATAACAAGAGAAAAACATAATCAAATAACTAAATAACATAACCTCATTCAAGAACGCCGATTCTTTTGGCCTATACTAGCCCCGGCATCGGCCGATTAATCGGTCGGACTGTAACCGCAAGTGCGTTTTAAAAAACTTTGATTAAGGAATACTACGCTAACCATTTGCAACAATCACCGTTAAATATTCAAAGCAATTGAGTTTGGTGTCTGCGGTAGCCGAGTGGTTATAGCTGCGCACTAAAACTCAGTAGGAACCAGGTTTGATCTCTGATCCGGGCAATTTTTAAAATTTACATTTTTAATGTGAAAACATCTTAGCATTGGGTAAGGGTAAAATTTGCGCTATTCCGGCAGAAAATCTGTAAATAGTTCCTTTTTCTGTGTACAAATGAACATTTCTGGGGCAGTTCACTGCCCAGTTTCGGACACTGTCGTTATAAATTCGGGTTAATTATGCTGACGCGTTTTTATTTATTTTACCGAGGGATGTAATGCGAATTACCGACTAAAATAGAAGGAACATTTCTTTTAATCGACGAGGACCATAAAAATATGATTTCCACTCTGCCATCGCGCTTCGTGGGGATGGACATCATTGGTAAAGTTGCGGGTTTTCAAGTTCTCTCCCCAAGACCAAGTCTTATTGTACTAATTTTAAATAAAGAAAAATTGCAGTTTTCCGCTTATGCTGGTTTTACAGTTGCTGATTCCTTAAGTTTAGATCCCTAATGCGGGGATCCGGCGAAGATGGTCACGGTTGTTAGCTAGTGCAGAAGATTCAGCTGCAGCAGTGACCACTTAACGGCACTGACGTTCGACAAAATGGACCAAAAGACATTGACTTGTGAGGAAGGAAGAGAAGATCTCACCAACGTAGTCTGATTTTTTAAGGTCATTTACCCGTATGAATATGGGTAGTTGGCAATCCTGGTGGGTGCGCTGTGGGACCTGCCGCATTTACAGGCTGGAATGAGAGACCGTGGAGCTTGTTAAAGTCTTCTACCAGAATTTGGCTTTCACCTCTGAGGAATCTGCCTGAATACTTTTATAAGGATGATATCAGATGATGATGTATGTACATATGTAAATATATATGTATGTACAATAAATATTGCGAGATCGATACTGCCTGACCGGATAGCTTGTTGGGCGAGTTGTAGATTGGCTATGTAGAGGGTGCCGTATGGCGTGAGCAACATATACCTTCTGGCCCACGACCTAGGCTACCTGAGAACAGAACAGGTTCTTGGGTGGTTCCATCCGTTGCACATAACCGAAGGAGCTTGGATAGAACCACCTCTGGCATGCGCAGCAGAAATGGGGTTTCCAGTCAGACGAGTTGCCGTGGAGCAAAAAAAAGGTGTTATCATAACATCTGGTTTCGAGTGCTAAGGTATGCATGTATGAATGAGCCTTTGGCAATGTGAGGGAAAGATGTTGTTAAGCACAACAATAAAAAGCGATCATTCCAATAACCACTTTGCTTAAATGCAAGTGGGATACTACAGTTCTCGTTAAGATAGTAGGTCATCAAAATTGTGACACATAAAATAAAATTTTTCTTATATTTCAATTAATATTTGCTTATACAAATCAAAAAGTTTTTAGCGCAAAATTACTCGAGTTTTAACAATATATGTTATTATTTTTGAAAAGTAAAACAGTTTCAGGTACATACATACATATGTTGAAGACTAACCCACCAGAAGAAGCGGTGGCCGGAAGTGCGGAACCACCACCTTCAACTACTTCCATTAGAAGTAGCAATGGCGTTGAAATGAACACACAGTCGGAAGCGAAAAACACGACTACGCCCGGTGGTACCCGAAAATATGATCGTCATGACGCCGGCTGTTATGATGGCATGTCTGACGATGCGAGCGGCTTCAGCTCCAGCGGCGAAAGCCTCGCATCAGCAAGAAGATCGCACAGAATGCGACAGGTAAGTGGATGGAGGGTCGATTTTTAATTGGCATGTAATAAATGTGTACATACAGTATTCTGCATTAATTTCTGTTACTTCCTGTTTCTAGCCAACGGCCGCGAACGACAACGATGGCGGCATGTCAGACTGTAGTCAATGTCGTAAACATCGCATGGCGAAGGCGAGACGTAATCGGCGGCGTAAATCACGTTCACGCAGTCGTCGCCGCCGCCATTAGAGTTAAGCGCTTCTTTTGATCTTTTAAAATTTTTGTCTCACATTTATTTCTTGTACATTTAATACGCGAAATAAAGCGTTCGTGATATACCTGTAGTTATACATAGTACATATATTTGGTCTTCAGTATATCGTTACCTCAATATTAATTAGGATAAGTCACTGAACTACCATTTTTCGGGCCCCGACGAAGTCGATCAGCCTCAGTCGGTTATTGGCGGCAAAGATCCCTTCCCTGGCATTGAAATTGTCTAGCGAGATTTTGTTATTGCAACAGGAACCACACTCTTAGGTGCACTCCAAGCTCTCATATTTAGAAGTGATCTTTGGACGTCTCGTCCTCATACGTCGGGGCAAGGACGCAAATGAGCGATATATTGAAAATTTTGTTTGGATGGGGCTTTCGGCGAGACACTACTGGGGTCAACGACATAACTAAGCAATGAAGTCTTTCTTCAACCACATATTCCACACCGTATGCTGAGTCCAATAAAGTCCTCTAAAGAGGAGATAAACCAGTTTAGCAGAGGCACCTTCCAAAGTGGCACACTTCTTGGGCCTCCCGTTGGTTGCGTTTTACGACAACGACTAAATCGGTGGCCAATCATGTTATCGGGAAAAAAGAAAACAAACATTTTCATTACAAAAAGGACGGTTTACAATGTCAGCATGGAGTTGAGAGTGCTTTCCCGACATCTCTTTTATTTCAACACATGGTGAAATAATAACCGTGGTTGCAACGTGGGTGAGATTGCAGTAGTATTCGAACTTGGAAAATAATAAATAATATTCCTCTGATGTCTTCTTGAACAAACACATTTGCTACTAGTTCTAAATTAAACAAGGGGATCTAATGGGTGAGTGAAGTGAATCTATAACCTATCCTCCCCAAACGACAATATCACCCACTGCCCGTCAAGGCTTGGTGATCCCTGTTATCGCTAACGAGGCTCTGTCGACCGGTGAGAGCCGGTATATCCTCGCTCAAGGCTGAGCTCCCGTAGTGAGGACTTGGACCCGGACTGTACGTGACGTGCATCGACGAACGCTCAGGACGACCAGAACGTGATGACGGGTGGACCACTACGTACGGGACCACAATCTTCGCGTTTGAAAACGCACCGACAAATCCAGAAGCGTCTGTTCCCCTGTGGGGCGGCTCCCTGGTCTGCTTCTGACCCATAGTGGGCGGCAGGACAACCTTCACCTGGCAGTAGGTATAAAATGCAAAATGAGCGACTCCGTGAGGAGAAAGTCTCGAATGTTTCCGGAAGTGAGGCCGCGGTCTCTGGAAAAGCCACCAACTCCGAAAAAAAGGACGCTGTAACCAAACCCCCTCTCTGAGGGCATTAGCAGTCTGCCGACGAAGAAAGTTACTCCCCTGTCCGCTGTTGGAAACAACAAGCCGTCGCAATCACTGACGCCCAGGTAGCAATCACTAGCGACTTTCTACTGCTGTATTCTGGTTAAGAAAAGCACTAATATTCTCTTTCTTCCCCAATTGAGCGATTCGGACATGACAGCGGCAATGTTGGAGCAGAGGGGAGCACCCGACCTCATCCTCGCATCTTTATACATGCCATACGATGTACCCGATCCCCCGACAAAATCCTTCAGGAAACTCACCGCCTGGGCGGAGCAACGAGGGATAAATATGGTGGCTGGCTGTGACGCCAACGCTCACCACACGGCGTGGAACAGCTCGAACATCAACGATAGAGGTGAGTCACTCTTTAGTTACTTATTATCCACAAAACTTACTATCTGTAACAAGGGTAATAACCCCACTTTCTACAATAGAATAAGGGAGGAGGTTATAGATATAACTCTTGTAACTAACTCGAACAATGTTAGGGTTGACGGCTGGAACGTCTCGACAAAATGCTCTTTTTCTGATCATTGTCGCATCGTATTCTCGATTAACCTAAGCAGATGCCGCGCAACTAAGAAGGTGCCTCTCGAAAAACCCGGCTCTTCCCGGTTTTCTTAAAAAGCCAGGAGGAGGGCACACCGAAAGCAGCCTTGAAACACCGGAACACCTTATGGATGTCCACTGCCCTGGCTGCGGTGACGCAGGGGACACAGGAACTCCTGTGACAGAACATCCTAGTACCCACAGGCAAGGCAGTCCAGTGAACGAAATCATCACTACAGACAAAGTAGCTTGGGCTATCAGATCCTTCCAACCCTACAAATCTCCGGGACCGGATGGGATCTTTCCAGCCATGCTACAATGAACAAGCGCCACGGTAACCCCCTGGCTAACGACAATCTATAGGTAGGGATGCAAACGATGCATCGATATTTTTGAAACATCGATAATATCGGTTCAAAATTCGATGTTTACCATCGATGTTTACAATTTCCTAAAATCGCTTAATTGACGATACATCGATGCCAGTTTCAGCGATGTTTTAACATCGACTTATGCTCCTAAAATTTTTTGACTGGCCATGAATTTTATTACTTATTCTTTGATGAACATTCTTATCTTTCGGTATTAAAAATGCTTACTTAGTCATTAGGCTCAGCAAACTAACGACGGCATGGAATAGTAAATAAATACAGGGAAATACGTCCATATGTAAGTATTTTTCTAATTGAACAGAGAGTTGGAACTGAAAGGTATTAAATTTTCCTTTTAATGTGACTACAACCTAACAAATTTTAAAACATCGGATACCATCGATATATCGATGTTTTTCTGGCGATGTATTTTAGCATCGATGTTCATTTTTCCGATGCATCGAAACATCGATGTATCGATGTTACTCCCCAAAATTTGCATCCCTATCTATAGGGCGAGTCTCCTCCTAGCCTATATCCCAAAGGAGGGAGGTAAGAGTGGTCTTCATTCCCAAAGCAGGAAAAGCGGGCCACAGCACTGCAAAAGATTTTAGGCCCATCAGCCTCTTATCATTTCTTCTCAAAATAATGGAGAGGCTTCTGAGTCTGCAGATCACGCAACGCCTTACTCCTGGGAACTTCAGCGAGGCTCAGCATGCCTACCGTAAAGGTAGGTCGGTTGAAACAGCCCTGCACGAGGTTGTTGGGAGTATAGGGCAAGCACTGAATCACAAGGAATATGCGCTGGCAGCCTTCCTGGACGTGGAGGGCGCCTTTAACAATGTTAACTTGGCATCCATAACTGCTCCATGGTGGCTGTAGGACCGGACCCATTGATCACTCTCTGGATCGACAAAATGTTGAGCACCAGAAACATCAATGGCTCCTTGGGAACATCAGAAGTAATGAAAACAGCCACACGGGGCACAACTCAAGGGGGGGGTGCTATCCCCCCTACTGTGGAACCTCGTGCTAAACGAATTCCTGCTTCGTACATCGAAAGCCGCTAAGGTCGTTGCTTATGCGGATGACTTAGTCATTCTGGTCGTGGGAAAATTCCTCTCCACGGTCAGCGATCTGCAATTAACGATCTGTCAGGGTGGGCAGAAAGAAACGGCCTAGGCGTAAATCCCACTAAAACCGAACTTGTTCTCTTCACCAAGCGATATAAAATAGACAATTTCCGACCTCCGTCCCTCAATGGAGCAAATCTCAAATTGTCAAAAGAAGCAAGTTTTTGGGGGTTATTTTCTCAGGAGTTATCTCTGAGGGAGTCGTATAGACCCCCAGACCACTGCAGTGTTTTTCAGGCTGAGATATATGCAATACATATGGCGGCGAGGTTGGTGGGCATGATTGACTTAGCTCCATCTAAACTTTCCTTCGTTGTTGACAGTCAGGCGGCTATCAAAGCCTTAGGGTCGGCAACGACTAACTCGTTATGCGTTAAAGAATGCCGAAGATCCCTACAAGCTCTACAGCAACACATAATCAATCTTTACTGGGTACCGGGACATTGTGGTGTCCCGGGAAATGAGGAAGCGGACGAATGTGCTAGGAAGGGATCTGAGATGGGGCTCGGGGAAGCGACCCAAATCGTGAAACATCCCCTGCGATTTCTGTCTTCAGAAGTCGAGAGACTGACCAGGGCAGATACCAACAGTAGGTGGGTAAACCTTCACACCTGCAGGGTATCGCGATCACTCTGGCCATGGCTCGATGAACGAAGAACAAGGTGTCTATTAAGGCTTTCAAAGTCAAACGTCAGGCTTCTCACAGGAATACTAACGGGACACTGGACCATTGGCCACATGGCCGCCAGGTTCGGAGCCCCGCACAATGATTTCTGTAGAAGCTGCAGGGATGAGGAGTTAGAATCCGTCCAGCACTTCCTTTGCGAGTGTCCAGCACTTCGAGGAAAACGCCTCAAGTTTCTTGGGGACCACTTCTGCGAGAATCTGGATATCTTGGGGAAAGCTCCCCTGGAAGGACTGCTAGGATTCGCCAGAAAATCCAAATGGTTCGAAGACATGTAGGGACAGGCTTGGGGTAACCCCCATGGGCATCACAATGGGCCTCTGCGGCCTCTGAGTGAACTCTTTTTCAAAGCTGCCCGTTTAACCTAACCTAAATTAAACAAGGTCCGACGCATTATCTGATTAACGAAAGTCATAGAGGAAAGCTACGCTACATCAACTAAGAAACGATCCCTGTAAAATTACATTTGTATGACAACGACGACCAAACCTTGGTTTTGGTTGAAATGCTTACCCCCAACTCATATCGTTTTTCGAAAATACAGAAAATACTTTCAGAAATTAGTATGTAATTTTGGGGATTTGATTTAGGTGGAATTCATTGTTTTTAAAAAGTTTAGGTTTATAATTAGTATGTATTATTTAAATGCATTAATGATAAGAGAATGTGTGTAATAAAGATTAGGGAATAGAGAATATGTGTAATTGCGATTCAAAACTAAAATATACATAAATAAAAATGTTGGGCTTGCGAGCTCCAAGTAGCAATAGCTCACACACGGCTCATGATTCAATTATTAATCATTATTGAATCATGCACACGGCTGCGGGAATTTCCGTATGCGTCATTAACAGTTATGCAACGAATAAACAGCTAATATTAATTTGATATGTTGTCCAATATTTATTTTTTTTTTGTCTAAAATCTTTTTATAAGCTGCTGTAGTCGGGGTTGAATTCAAGAAAATAAAATGGACAGCTAAATAGTATATCATTTACCTTTAATTCATAGTTAATTGTATAAAAATTGACTTCCCACAAACCGTGCGTGGGTGATACTAACTATGTATTCAATGGTTTAAATTAATGCGTTAAAATATAACTATAACTATAATAAAAGACATACAATACACATATGATACTGATGTAAAAAATCAAGCTGCGTAATGAATGTAGGTTAGCAAAAATGAGCTATTTCGCACGGTCGCACGCAGACACACATTTACATTGCTAATGCTTTCTTATTACAATAGTTTTATTCATTAGAGTCGGCAGTGTTCGATTTCTCTTCAGAAGTCTTTGAGGATGAGTCTGTTGAATGGGCTATATCAACAATATCCACATTGCCACCCACAGATGCTGTATTGGCCGCTTCAACAACTGAGTAACCGATGTCGGGGGGTGTGCCCTCTGGGTAACCCAAATAATAGTCTGCAATGCGACCCGCTTCACGAAGTCCACTCAAGAAGGCACCATGCACTGTGGCGGGATAGTTGCGTATGGTGTGCTCGCCTGCGAAGAATAAACGTGGAAGTTCGTCTTGCTCCTGATTGGCATTCGTGTTTGCCGGATTCGGTGGTATGACTGGTGAAGCGAGCAAATCATAATCACTACCAGAGGACCCAACCGATACAAAGCTATAGGAGCCACGTGCCCAGGCATCTGCTCGCCAACGCGTAACCACAGTTTCTTTGGGCTGAGGTACGGAACCATTGCCGAAAATGCCTTTCAACACAGCAATGCAGCGACCGACGATAACATCGTCCGATACATTCTCCATTATAGCGGCCGATTGACCAGCTACCAAGGCGAGCAACACCGGCGATTGCGAAATGCTCCAGAAAAGAAAGAGTTCACCTGGAAAACCAATGAGTAACGAAATGACCACAAAAAATTATATCATTCTAAAATTACCGCGACTAGCAGTTGTGCTGCCTACATGACCAAACAAATTTGTATTCGGATCCCAGAAGATGCGGTCGAAGCAGAGCACAACTTTATTCAAATTGCCAAAACCTAATCGCTGTATAGCTGATTGCTTCCAATCGGGTAATGGCGGCTCAAACTTTACGGTATTTACTTGTTGTGATTGCACTTTGGTGGTGGCTATCTTTAGCACACCTAGCGTTAGGGTGCAGAGCGCGATGTCTGCCTTGTATGTAACGGAAGAATTGTTTGTCTTCAAGTTTTCAGTTACAATTTCCACGCCAGTAGGGAAATATTTGATCGTCTTTACGGCGGTATTTACGCGTATATCTAAACCTTCTGTCAAAGCTATTGGTACGCAAGAGTAACCATTGCGTACTGTTGTGTGATTGCCGATAAACTCGAAATCATCATCTTGATCCCAATGCTTAAGGGATAGATTACTGAGTGGTGTCGCATTGGCGAATTCCAGATTCGCAAAGTGCCAGTCGAGTATTTGACGATCCTTAGAGGAGAGGTATACATCACTAGGAAGATGAATAAGAACATTAGCTGGCAAAAGACAAAATATATATTATTGTACACACCTAGGAGGGCTGCTCTCAATTTCCTTCAATTTAGCTTGCAGTACCTCTTCTTCTTTGATAAGTTCATCATACTCCTTACAAGCTTTGGTCCACTCAAAATGAGTGGAACGTATTTCAAACTCATGTTCGACCCATAGCGCATCACCATCTCCACTGCGTTGTGGACGTGATTTTATAAGTTTTGCATGTGTATCCTTGTACTTTTGTATTTTGGCTAATAATTCTGAAACATGGGTCTGGCATGCGATGACCGCACGTTGTGCTTCGGCGAGCATCGTCAGGTGTTGCACGTGCTTTTCTTTTACCGCCTTCTCTTGCAACTTAATGATCCATTCAAGTGCACGACCCAATGATATAGGGTCATCGTTGGCATAGTTAAAATCTAGCTGATGAGACAGATAACTGGCGGACTCAAGAAGTCGATTGAATTCACGCTCAACCTGAAAAAGAATAATATTTATAAGATAAATTACACTTACAATGTATTATTATTGCACACCATATCGTCTTTATGCTTGGGCACAGGTTTTCCGCAAGCTCCATACAGCGGGCATGCTTGCCTAATTGGCACCATCTCCATGCCGATTTGTTTGCTAAGTATAGTCATTGGATTGCCCCAAACACCAGTTACTACCATAGCGCCCAAATCAGCAATATAGTTATTCTTGCGAAAAGTAGCAATACGTCCACCAACCCGATCACGCGCTTCTAACACAATGACATCCATGCCGAATTGCTGTAGCTGCTGAGCAGCCGCTAACCCTGAGATGCCTGCTCCAATTACTATAACTTTGCCCAACTTCTTGGTAGGTATGGGGCGCAAACGTTTAAAAATACCAAAGTTAATAAAACCATGCCGCTCCAAGAACGAGTGTACGCGCTTCACCAGGTTCGGATCGCTGTCGAATGGTGGCTCCATATCTTTTATAGCGTTTTCTACAATAAGCTGCTGCTTTGGATTCTCGATCCACATTTGCAAAAGGCGGTTGCGTATGTTCAGAAAAACACGTTGTGCCACCAAGCCGGTCTTGGTGATGTCAGGAAAACAGGCGGCCTCATTTGATGTCATCTTATCGAATGGTAGACGGGACTGAAATGCTGCACCTTCTAAACCTGTCAGGATTTCTTTATAAGCTTCTGCAGCGGCAGCTGCTGCCTCACGGGGATCTGTGATTTCCTTGGGAAATGGACTGCGCGTTGTTTCTGTTTTGCGCGTTTTGCTGCTTTCTGAACGCCTTTCAACACCACCAGTGGCAGATGAGCTCGAAGGAGTGCTCGGTTTATCACCAGAGTCCGTATTGCCACCAGTTGGCTTGTTGTAGTAATCAACCTGTAATCAAAAATGCATATATGTATAATGTTAAACGATAATCTCCGCAATGTAAAATCGCTTTTAAACAAGGGGAAACACGCATGACAACTCATGGTTATACCTTTGGTTTGTTTCGCCTGCTGGTGCGACGCTCATCGCCCGCAGCGCCGCCTTGTGCATCGTTGGAGTCATCATCGTACTTAATTTTGCTAGGCGTTCCACTGCCACCAACGCTCGTCGGAGCAGCCTTACGCTTTGGCGACATTTCCTCCACATCCGAATCATCGCTTATCAGCGTTACACATTCGATTGCTTCCGTGTTGGTGCCCGTGCTGCTGCTGCTTGTCACCGTGGGTGTTGAGCTACTATTAGTGTTCGTATTATGGCCATTGTTATTGTTGCTGCCACTAATATTATTGCTCTTTGCCAATGGTTGCTGGTGTTGGAGGAAGACGCTGCCGGTGCCAGCGACACTGCTACCGCCAACTACAGCCGATGCCGACGTTACCGCTGTGCTAGCAGGCGCTCCCCCTACTGATTGTGTAGACAGCGAAGACACGCCGGTTGTAATTGCGATTGTTTTCTCCATTTTTCACAGCACTTTTTCGTATTTCTATTGCTTAACGAAGTTTTTATATCTTTTGCGCATATTTTCGACACTTTTTCACAATTTATTATAAATTTTTCACTAGTTTTTGCTAAATTGAAGCGAGAGCCGCTTTGTTTATGTCTCGTTTGCTGCAGCGTTTAGGGTTGCAAGTGTAAGTACTAAAAATAGAGGAAGAAAAATGAAATTTTCGTAGCCTGGAGCATGTCTCTACTAATGTAAAACACCAGGGGAGCTCTGCTGGGGCGAAAGAATCTCCGTTTGCCGTTATTTTAGTTTCACTTGGTGGCACCCAGAGGCCGCAAGTATAGATTTGATTTTCAGCATAAAGGTATCGTCACACTTTTGCGATTCTGAAGGTGCGAATTTGTTCCGACAAAGATTAAAACAATGCCGTTCTTAGTTTTAAATTTTTTTGCTCCAGCGATTTATTCGAGCAGCAGTGTTGGCAAAAGTGAAAATTTATCTTCAAAATGAAGATATTTTTCATAAACAATCAGAAAAATCTTCACATGAAGATAATTACAACAAAATAAAACTCCACACAAAAAACTTCACAGTGAAGATATCTGATAGCACTTGAAGATTAATTTTTTTGGGTATAGTTGGCAACAAATTTTTCGCTTATGTCATCAATTCACTGCTGCACATGCGAAAGTAGGACAGCTAGAGTTCTATTGTCAATATGGATAGGTCAAAAAGAAACGTTGAACTGTGCCCACTGTATACTCTGTGGTTTTCGGTATTTGGAATTGGTAGGTAACAAAATACTTTTCGTTTTTATCATCAATTTACCTTGCAGTACTGGTAGATAATAATATTATTTTTATGAAAAAGTTTTTTGACTTGATTTTGCTTGTCAAAATTCGCGCTCAAACTCGACCCTGTGTTTGGCATTGCATGCACTGCCAAGTATGCATAACAGAGCCTTAACTGAGCAACTGTTCCTAGTCAGAAGTTACAGGATTTAAAGCCTGATTATAGCAACTCAACTTAACTTAACGGAACGTAGAACTTAGTGAATCAAAATGAAACAGATTTCGACGTGGCATTCAGTTATGTTAAGTTTCGGCTGTTCAATTATAAGCAACACCCATTTAACAGAATTTTTAAGAGAGAGCCGTAAGTTACGTTAAGTTGCCATAATCAGACAATTAGTCCGGAGTTTTTTTCCTGTAAGTTCATGAAAAGTGTCAAACGATCAGCTGATTTGCATGTGCAAACAAAAACAGAAAGCGGTGTAAGCAAAAAAGCTTATATTTGTAAAAAAATGAAAATAAACAACGAAATATCTGAATATGTATAGATTTTAATAATTAGTTAGTGATATTTGAGCGAAATCAGTGTTGTGCAAATGACATGTAAACAAACCGACTGACGTTTTTACAGGAAATAGTGCTTTTTGCGTTCCCGTGCACTTCTGCATCTTTTTTCTTTTTACTCTCACTTGAGAGAGTAAAATTGTAGTTTAACACAGGAGTAAAAGGAGAACAGATGCAGAACTCCGGACTTAAGTTGAAATTAGTCAAGAACGTAAACCTACCGGTACGTAAACCCGAGTCAGCTGACACGATCTGTCTTTTCCTGGAAAAACTATGGAACCAATTTCTTTCTAAAAGGTCTTGATTAGTAGATAATTAATGCAATTTTAAGAAAATGTCTGGTTGACTTCCAAAACATCAATTGCTGTGCATACGTACAAAGTATAAGGTTCCATAACGTCAAACTACAAAATATTGACATTGTATACTGTTCCAAAACGCATCCGAAAAGTTATCGAAACGCATCGCTAGAGCAATCAGCGCATCAGAAACAAAGCTGATGCTTCGTTTGTTATTGGTTAGCATTGGTGTTTTAGAAATGGAAAATTCAGAAAAATTGTTCATTGCTATATTGAATATTTAAAATATGCAATGTATGTATATGGTTGCAATGTGTCGCAACTCTGCACATACAAACAGTTTGAATATGGTTGCAATGTGTCGCAACTCTGCATATACAAACAGTTTGAATACCGCAGTATAACAGTTCCCAAACATTGTATTGATACGTTTTGGAAGTCAGCCTCTTACTCTTAGGGGTGGATTCTTCCCTTTACCTACCAGACCGCCACAAACTTGAAAAAAGTTAACTTGTTTCTCCTATCCAGAATTGCATGGTCTTTTTAATCTGTTTCTTCAATATTACTGTGCTGCGATTGACATCCCACAAATAATCCTGACAGCATCGCCCCTTTCTGTCGTAGATGGTTGATCGGGCGGCCTTCGGTACTACTCAATGTTCGTTCTTTAGTCGTGTAGCTGCCTTTTCCGTGTGGTGGATCATTTCGAAGCAAAGTATGTTGGGGTAGCTTTCACGGTGACACGAGCAACTGCTTCGCTAAACAAAGTTGTCTTCTTTCACCACCAGTATATATCTTTTGTCGGGGAGGTGATGCTCGGACGACATGAACCGTACGTAGGCAACTCGCCTTCCGGCACGATTGTAAATTTTTCCAAGGCGTGCCACTAATTCCTGCCTGCAACGCTAGTCCTGCATTGTCTGTCGCCGTCGGTAGTTTTGCGCCATAGACGTACATATAACCAAGATTAATTTTGCTTCAGAAATGGTGAAGAAGTTTGAACAATAGGGGAGGTAATCAGTGACGTTGCCAGAGTAATTTCGGGAACACTACGCCGCCTTTAGGTGCACCGTGACATACACAAAAGATAGCTGTTTAGTCACCGTTTCGACCGAACTGAAAGCGACAAGTGCTAGATGTCTTGGCAAAGGAATGCCTTCCACAAGGTCGACGTGGGTTCAGATTCTCGTTAATCTATATGAAGATCGCGTTTAATGCTGTTTAAGATGCTTAGTCAGGCTGGGTGGGAGAAGTGTTTCTATGAGGATAGGTGGGATATTAGTTTGTATGATTCTTATGCGTCCTTCTAGTTAAAGAAGAAGAAGGCCAAACGCCTTAGATGCCTTGACGTTGTTGACCACAGCCTGCTTTGTGTGCCTTTCGTAGCAGACTGCGGCGGGCTTTGTCTTTCCCCAAATGCACAATAAATTGCCGCAAAGGAGCAGCAATGTCCCAACGTTACGCTGGATGGGAGAGAGACTTAGCTATTGACCACAGTTTGCTTGCTCCGCTTGCGAGTTTTACTGTTCCATTTTTATTCCCTTTAATCTTGCTAAGCTCTTAAGTAATAATTAAGCTTGAAATCTTTCTGGATAATAATAGTTTAATTTAAATTTGATTCGCCTTTTTCAACTCCAAACAATTATTTGCCTTTTTTCAGTGCCTAACATAAATTCTAAGCTGCCAATTCGCATACGCCACCCCCCATCGTGGGCTCGAAGTGTGATCGTGTTGCTGATAGTATGTTTGATAAATACATCTGTACATACAAACATGATGATGAGGGTGGTGGCAGTAGGCTTTGTCACACTCCTGTACGAGTATGTATATACTTACTATGTATATATGTAGTTTCATTTGACAAACACCCCTTTGAAACTCTTTTGTGTCTCATCCATCGCCACTATTTTAAACCTTTTACCAATATATTGCGTGAATTTATAGGTTTTTAAATAATTTCGAATTAATGTCTCTAAACGCTGGCTACAGTTGTTATGCAATTTATGGGCTTAATCGAATAATGCGTGGTTAACCTTGTTAGGAGTTTAATTGATTGGAATTGGTTTAGAATTAGAAGACAATGCCATAATTAAAAAAATTTAAAGCGGATAAAATAAATGAAATGGTTTCTTTTAAATGAAATTTTTAATTAAAAACAATGTCCATATATATTTATCCTCAATGTATGATTGAAATTCCCATAATATCATATAAACATCCCTGAAGTGTGTACATCTGAATTGTACCATAATATCCTAATCAAATCCGAAATTGTTCGGATAAGTTAGTACAGTAGTCTTCCTATTTAAAATACCACTTGCCATCGAAAGGCTCTGTTATGCATAATTGGCATTGCTTGAGAGTTGTCACATAAGCAATCTGTTAAATGAGCTTCGCGTGTAAGCGGTTACCCAACGCACAGCATTACATAAGTAAAAGTCTGTTGGTTTTTGATTTCTACGTAAAAATGGTGTAGCACTGCCAGGTATGCATAACAGAGCCTTTCGTTTGACATCTACCACGTCTATGCGCCCTGGTGTTGAGCAACGATCTGCATACGCTAGCAGCATTGTGCTTTTGTTTCGTGAAGAGGTCTCTCACCTTTCGCACAGAATCGTCAATGGGACCTAATTTGCTAAGTTCAGGATGCTTATCCCGCGGTAGTCGGCGCAAACATCAAGATCACCCTTCTTGTGGATTGGGCAAAGAACACTGAGACTCCAATCTTGGAGCGGGATTCGTATTCATCAGATCTAATTTTGCTTACTAGCCAGTAAATGCGGCCAAGCAGTTCTTCGCTGCCGACTTGGAGACTTGGCGTCAGCTGGAGAGGTTTTTTTTATTCTTAAGCTTTGACTTCGTCTAGTGGAGCGACGTGAGCTCCCATCCACCCATTTTTGCCAATATGGCGGCTCGATCACAGTCCCACAAATCAGGTTTTCGGATAATTTTTTACCTGCGGAAACCAATGGTGAAAGAAAATAACTTACAGGACTAGAATTTTGCAATTAAATACGAATGTGGCTCACTTATAAAATTGCAAAAGTAAATTTTATCTATCGTTTAACAACGTTACATTTGCTGATTTAATGTTTTGGTTTTAAGTTATGTAAAATACTTTTTTCTCTCTGAGCGATTTTTTAAATACCTACATAAGAATACGTGTAAAAATGATTTCCAATTTGGTTAGAATATTGTGTTCATAAAAATGTGGTAATTTTTTCTGAATTTGGTAATTTTTTTTTAGAGTTTTGGTAAAAAATTAAAAAGCTTTGTGGCAACACTGATCTCAACATGAGGAACAGAGCAGTTTTTGAATTAATCTATCCAGCGTCGGAGGATGTCATCTTATAGCCCATTTCCACCAAAAGCTTAAGTTCCAAGAATTTTAACATATGGTGATCGGCAAGGTTCATTTCTTACCATTTGCTTTTTTACTTTCGATGGCTTGTACTTAGTATGAGAAATTAAGTATTTCCTTCGAGTGGTTGTCTACTTTTTCCAATAGGTATACACTGAAGTTAAGGCTTGGTGAAAATGAAATATTAGTTCCTAGTTGAGAGTTGGTTATAGCTTTGTCTATCCATAAATGATGTCATGACATCTGTGGAAGAAAAAAATAAGAGTTGCTTGATAAGTTGGCGGTTCTGTGGTCCTGCAGTTCGGAACCCATTTCAATTGCAATCAGCCGCTGCTGCTAATAATCAGTACCTATTTGAACAAAAACACAGCAAAAACAATAATTTCACTACTTACACTAGCAACAACGATAAAAATAACTTTAAACAACAACGATAAAAATAACTTTAACATACATACGCCCCTAGTACACTACTCTCAAACACACACACATCCCTACAAATTTTTGGATTTGTTCAACGATTTGTATTTTTATTTTTTCTTTTTTTGCTACCTTTTGATGAATTCGCAGTTTTCAAGGATACGCCGACAATGGATTTTTGTGCCTTTCGTATGACTGTCAGGAAATTTATCAAGGATCTGAGATCATTGCGCCTTTTGTTGTGCAAAGCAACGAAGGGTAAGTATGTATGTACATTATGGAAGTGGTAAGTATATGCTCTTGTGGACGTACATACATATGTACATATGTTCTATATGTAGTAACTAGGGCATTCAATCCCGGGATTCCGGGATCCCGGACACTTTTCCATGTCCCGAAATCCCGGGATTACAACTCCGGGATCCCGAGATTTTTACTGATTCATTTACAGAATGAAAGATATGTTGAAAACGAAGAAAATAATTTATATGACTTGAAACGCGAGAAATACAGAACACTAAAATTTGGATTCAAAGTGAACTTGAGTCATTTGCACTTGGAAGTGAATTTCAGGAACTGCCTGAATAACTGTACTTGTTCAAATATTTTGTGCAAGAACTGTGTAATAACGAAAAATCTGGTAGCAATTCAAAACACAACAAGCTTTTACAGTGGGGCAGAATTATTCTTCATTTTACTTTGTTGGCCTTTTTTGGAAAAGGATTTCTGTAAATATGAGTAAATGTTTTGGACAAGTAATATAGATATTTTAGAATGAAAAATATTTAAACATCAAATTAGATACTCTTTTACTAAGGAACATTATGCTCCCCTAAGACCAAATATTTTGACAATGAATCTGTGTGGTTTGAAAAAGGCGAACCTACTGTAAAATGCAAAACGTTGTTGTAATGCCAAAATCCCGAAAAATCTCGGTATCCCGGGATTCGAATTTTTACATCCCGAAATCCCGGGATTGTTAAAATGCTTCGGGATTGAATTCCCTAGTAGTAATATACAAGCTACAAGCTAGTAAGGGAAAATTGGCTGTAATTGTTTTTATGTTCTTGAGTGCGAATGTTAACAAAAATTTATACTGGTGAAATGTTGCATGTGTTGGAAACTACGTTAATGTATATACTTATGTATATATATATGTATGTATGTAATATACCCATTGGTATCGATCATTAAAATTCCTTGAAATTATTGGTTTTACAGCTTCTGCGTCCCTCATATGCATTATGGGGTCATTTGTGAATTTCATTAAGACTTTCATGTATTAAGGATTATCAGTGCCAAAAAGGTGGCTTTCCTACGTATTAGGATTCGGAATTGCGGTATAAGAGCACTGAGTTCATCAGCAGGACAGGTATTCGCAGTTTTCGCAATTTACTCGAGTCAAAAGGACCTCAGATTCGTATTCAGCGGGTCGCAATATATGTCGGTGGGGTGTGTGGTTAAAAGCACACACCACTTTTTTTTATGCCGGTGTTATTTAACAAAAACAAAGATCATGAAATGTTACCCAACAAATAAAAGTGTAACAGTTGTTACGAATTGAATTCGGATAAATGACAAATTCGATGTATGTATATGTATGTGTGTATATAATACTCGTTGATCATTGAAAGGCCTATTAATTTTATGTAAATTCAATTGCTGATATAAAATACACATACGTACATATATCGTTGCCTTGATATAGAAAGGCCCTATCTCACATCGTCGCTGAAATACAAAAAGCCGTAACTAAGTAAAAATCCCAAATTCCCGTTTTGATTGATTATGATTTATTTCTGTGTGAATTATGTGTCCCCAAATCATTTTAAGCAATGAAAAATTTCAGTCAGTGTTACGGCTTTTTTGCATTTCAGCGACTATATGAGTTAGGGCCTTTCTATATTAAGGTAACGATATGCAGAAATAAAAACACTCGCGCAAATCGAACAATGCGCAATCTAAATAATCTTGAAATAACAAAAATAAAAAAACAAAAAAAGTAATTCAAAATAAAAAGCTGTGAATATTGAAAGCAAATGAAAAACTAAGATAAGGAATAAGAATTGAGCGAACTCAAATTCAAAAGCGATTCCGCGGTCGGCACGTAAACGCAGCCAAATCTAACAACAATAGCATTTTATAACACCACCAACTGCCGCAAATTTGAGTGAAATGTGCTAACAATGAATCAAGCGATGAGGCGAAATGGGTGCTGAAATTAGTTTTATGGTATTGCACACCCGACACGGACCACATGAAAGATCTGAATGATGGAGTTATAGCATCTTTTGTACAATATGCATGTACGTGCCCTCTAGGGAAAATCTCTAGTTCTAAATTGGTTCGCCTCTTGTAGACGACTGATGTAATAGGAAATTCCACAGTTGCGATCTAATTCGCTTTACATCACTTTTTCTAAAGTTCCGGCCCAGTTCTTGAGTTCCCAGGCTCGAATTCCGTCGGACGCAACTTGTTAAAATGATAATAAAAATGTTTGGTTTGTGTGTCCCAACTATGAAAAAGCATCTGTGAAGTGCAGGAGGAAAGCGCATTCGTTTGGTTAAAGTAAACAAACGATGACTTGGTGGACTATCGCACTGGCTCATTTTTGGCGATAAAGAATCTACACTGAACTACAAATTTGATTCACTAGTTCGGATTTTCCCTGCAGGGTATATCTGGGTATGCAATATGTGTGCTTTGATCAAAGGGTGCGCGCAATCGCATTGCGGAAATTTGAGACAGTCATCTCCACACTCAAGAAATGACGAGCAATGTGTTATGTACATTGGGGTGGTCCAAGTTTTTTTACACCACCATTTTTTACGCAGCGAAGAACAACAGCAATAAGGCGGTTTAAGAACAACAAGGCTCCCGGGGCCGATGGTATACCGGCTGAGCTGGATCCTACGTAGACAAAGTCCTTCAATACTTCAAAGTTATAGCTGCCAACAGTGACGTGGGTTCCGAAAAGCTTAGAATCTTTATATGTTGCAGTAGGTACTTTGTCTTGTCCCAACGGCACATAGAGGTCCTTCCCAAATTGGACGGAGCTGAAGCTTGTGCTCAACGTCACTCCACATAGCCGTATTAGTTTTTCGAGGATTCCAAATTTAGACATGGATCTAATCAAAAGCAGCTTTAAAATCGCCAAAAAGGTGGATGTGTATCGATTTGTTTATGTACATAGTGTCTTCGCCAGGATTTGACGTGCTTTGAAAATCTGGTAAATGGCGGATCTACCAGATCTGAAGCCACACTGTTAAGGTTCAGTCAGTTGGTTGGTGAACGGCTTCAGTATTTCATACAGTATCGTCGACAGGACTCTGTACGCAAAATTAAGAAGGTTTATTCCGCGATATTTGGCGCAAACGGCGGGATCTCCCTACTTGTGGCTTGAACAAAGTACACCGAGATCCCAGCTCCGGGCGCCTTGTTGATCTTAAGCCGCCATATTGCAGTTCTCGCTAGCAATTGGTCGAATAGAGGGACATGAGCTTAGTCTCTATACAGTGGTTCGGGTTCTCCTTCGTCTAAGCGCCATTCAAACGCGTTGAGATGTGTTCCTTGCATATCTCAAGTTTACTCTGGACATTTGTTATCAGATTTTCATCTTTATCTTTGCAGGAGCTAGCGCCGGTCTTAAAATTTAAATTTTCGTGCATTTGTTCGACTGCTTATGCAAATTTGAAATAGGATAATGCATGACTTAATGCTAATAAAGGCTGTTTGGGCAGTTAAGTGAGCCGGTTTGCCACCCGTATTCCAGCGCCACTAGACTCTAGTGGACTTATGCTGACTAGAGACTTATACACACTCGCCTCGTTCATGACATTGGAATAGGTTTACGGACTAATTTTGTTAAAAACATATTCAATATCCAGAAAGTCTGTACCATGGAAATCCCTTTCACATAAGAAAGCACATTATACATATTAGCTTTTTTTACATAAACATATATGTACATAAACACTTAGGCCATTAGAGAGTAGTAGTTTCACTTCACTCGAGTTTAAAATATGTACGCTCTGAAGAACTTAACTAGCTAGCGGCTTTAGTTTAAATCGAGAGGAGAATAACAAGAACAAGAAACCATTTGAACAAGACCAAAGAGGTAAAATTTAAATCGGCTTTGTGTAGAGAACTCAATGAAATAGTTACTGAAAAATTTCGAATAATTCATTTGCTTCGTCTAATCTGCTGCATTTATTAAGTCTCTCTATTTATTATTCAAATTATTATCCATAAGTAGAACGTAATAATCGAAAGTTTAAATGTGCATTGAGGCGCACATTTGACGAGTTGTTGAAGTAGCACTTGGGAACAATTATTGGATATGCGCTCGCTTAACTTTGCCATAACTTTATTTTGAACGCAAGCAAATATTTTGAAACTCCATTGTGTGGCATCAAAAATGGCGCGGATCAGCAACGAATTTTGCCGTACAAAAAGAAGTGGTTGGTGGTGTATTTATAGTTGAAAACAAATAACAACAAAAAAGTGAATGTAATCCTACCGCTTTTATAGCTGCTGCTGCTGTTTAATCCGCCAAACTTTATGAATACATAGCAAGAGGATAACAACAATGCAAGTGGTAGCAATAAAAAGGGTACTACCACTGGCTGCATAGGTACCTAAACCTGGTTTAATTTTTCATGCGAAATTTAACACTGCACCCGATACGAATTGCCCAAATGCTGAGAATGCATAACTTTTACAAATATACACTCACACAAAAATTTGCAGCAAAACCACCAAAAAGCGCCGAAAGGATAGATGTTGAATGTGCAGTAGGGTGGTCCAAAAATACATGTGAAAAAGTAAAGTCGAAATTTTAATGCTCCCACACCCTAGGATTGTTCTATATCGAAAAATATACCCCTGTTTTTTTGATGAATTTATAACAATAGATAATAATAAATACATGGACTGAAAATTTAGATTTCTGGTTGGATTTTGTTACTGATAAAAACATGAAAACTATTGATGAAAAAGGTACTGACACTGACAAAAATTAAAAATAAAACTTACGTCAATCGACAATTCCCCAGTTTTTTATGTAATGAATCTATGGTTTTATGTAGTTTATGGACTGAAATGAAATATTTATTTTTATTTTGTTATTACTTAATATGTACTTACGCACATAAATGCAATATGCACTTTTAAAAAAATACATACACATTTTTGTTTGAACGATGTAATATCAATATCTTTTATTCAAATAAGAAATAGTCAATATTCTATTAATTAAAACATTAAAAAGTTCTAAAATAAGCTTCCCTTCCATTGAGCGGACACCTCTCTTGGGCGGACAAAAAATGACTGACGGTGAGTGTCCGCCCAAGGAAGGTTTCACTGTACTTGTATTTTATTTGGAAAAACAAGTATTCATGAAACTATGGTATAGAATTCTGGAAAATCATAATTTTTCGATCGGAAACTTCAAGTGACTTCCAATACTAATACACAATTGTTTATTTTGCCGTTTTTTAATACTAACGATTTTTTATGTGTCTCCTCATTGCAGTTTTGGGGTTTTTGGGGGACCTATAAAAAATAGTTAATACTGAAAAATGCTTAAATAAACGAGCGGGTATTGTAACTGGAAGTCTCCTGAAGAGCAAAAAAAGGGTTTTTCGATCGAAGAATATAGATTTTCGAGAATTCTATACCATTTCTATGAATACTTGTTTTTTCACTTATAAAATACTTAGAAAACTTTGAGCGCTTTGAGCGACCGCTAAAGGTTTTGTTGATTTCAAAAAAAAAATAGTGGTATACATTTTTTCTTTATAGAACAGAGCTTTAAAATTCCGACTTTACTTTTTTTTGCACCACCCTATTGTGCAGCCAGGGTGAAGCCAATAGAGCAGTTATAGAGTTGATGATGAGCGGTACGAAGGGAAAGGCTTGGCCAGTGATGTGAGTGTTTTGTCAGCGGTGCAGTCAGGGGGAAATTATGAATTAATCAAAATTTCAAATGAAAATTATGAATAGCAAGCTAAAGTGGTGGTAGATAGTGATTACCTTGCACAGTAACCGAGTAGCATACTTTGTGGCGAATTGAAAGGGTGGCAGCGGCTTATTGGCAGCAGCAGTTGTTGCATACATAAATGCATGCCCGCATGTGTGTGTGTGTTATCTACTCATTTCTGGCACGCGGAGCAGCATGCCATAGAAATTTATGCAGCTTTGATTGCTAAATTTGTTGGCTGCTCTAATTACAGTGCAACGGTAACGGCAGGCGTGTTATTGCCCTCCTCCTGCCAACATAACAGAA